CACCCCACGGCTGAAAGGGCGAGCATGTTTGGTGTGACGGGGATTCGAACCCGCGACCCTCAGATTGCGAGTCGAGTGCCCTAACCACCAGGCCAGGGAATAGATGAGTACAAAACGACAACGTTTTAACAAAATCGACTTAAACTAACATGTTTACGCTTACGTTTGTCTAATAGATAAAGGTGTTCTTCAAATAGACCAACACGTGGTCTAAACAAGGATTTAAGAACTGATGAGTTAACCACGATAACGAATATGTTGCTGAGTTTCCGGGATAAATCTGGTTAGTAGAATTTAGGTGCTCCATATAATTCTGAAATGTGCCTTTGAACTAGCTTTGACTCTATCAGTAATCTTTCTGGCTTTCTTTAAGATGTTTTACTAAGATTTTTGCTTCTTCTTTCTTTTGTTGCTGTTGTTAGAATTACCGCAACATTTTCATTTTATTTACTTTTTGTTGTTACTTCGTAAAAGAACTACAGACTCTTCCCTTTTTCCGACTCTTTTATAATTAAATCAGCGTTGTTCTTTTTGAGCTTCAGAGCGGCTTTTTCCCTTTCTTGAATGTTTTTGTTGTTCGCTATTTGGTGTTTTAAAAATGAGATTCTTTTTTCTCTACTTTTTATTTAGACCTGACATGCCCAGGTGGTTAGGGCGTTCGACTCCCCTTCACATTAAGCTGTGGGGACGTTATAATATGACTGTTAGTTGGTACAAGAGTAGCCCAAAAGTTGACGGTAGGTAGTCTTTCACTGCGAAATTAGGGAAGGCTAGCGCAAAAAGTCTTCGTGTAGCTTTCCGCGAAATTCAAAACAAACTAAACTTTTACTTCCTCTCAGTATCCACTAATAATATATTCCATTACACTAACCAAACTATTAGTCCTTCATTCACTGCAAATAATACCTTCCATTACCTGTACAAAAATCAGCTTTATCTACATTGAACTACTTGTACCTCGTTCACTACCAATAATACCTTACACTAGCCAAAACAAACATTATTAACAGTAAATTGTTAGTGCTTCATTCTTTTTTTTAATGGCAATAATATGTTCCAGTAATCTTACCACGGTCTCTATAATCAGGATGTAAACTATCATTAGCAACGTGCTGGTAACTATTCACAGTTTTCACTGTCAACTGTATCCTCCGACTTTGCATTATCACCAGATAATGATATTCCGCTAGGTACGATTTTCAGTAACTTCATGGATACTATTCAGAGCTCGCATTACTAATGCCATTCCTACTATTTTGTTTGCATTGTTTTTGAAGGATTGATATTAACCATCCCTACATTTACTTCCTTTTTTGAAAAGTTTTTCTTTATTTGTTTGCTTGTTGTTGTTTTTTAATGCAGTGTTTCAATAGACATAAGATGGTTGTAATTATAACCATGTTCTATAA